TTCTGTTAGTCTTGTACGTTTTCTGTTAGTCTTGTACATTTTCTGTTAGTCTTGTACGTTTTCTGTTAGTCTTGTACGTTTTCTCCTTCATAATGTTCTCTAATAACGGTCCACCTTTTCAACTATAGTTTTCCTTTAATTTTATTTGATGGTTAGATCACTCCTATTTGGTGTTTCAGTGGATTGTTTGGTTTCCTCTGTGTCCCAATTCCGTTCTTTCACCAGAGCATCATTACAAGCATTTGTTTTTTTTTTTGTGAAAGGGGTGATTTTCAGCTTGTTTTTGCTTTTGCTTTTGTCCAGATCTGTCAATTTCTCCACCATTTCTTGGAGCTTAAGTCAATGTTTCTGTAGATGTTCATTCTAAGCCTAATCATCCCACCATGCATTTCATTTTTAGATTAGCTTGCTTGAGGATTGTGCAAGCATACTTCACCTCATCGGCGCAATGTTTACACCGCTGTTCAGCGTGTCATGATCATCAGAGACTGGTTAACTGCATGGGTTCATTTATTTAAAACGGCAGGACACATTGTAAATTATAACGCTGACATTACAGCAACCAACTGATTTCAGTACTTGGAAACGCAAAGTGGACTACCTGGAAGGCAGAATCACAATGTAAATTTGCTATAGTTCTGTTCTCTGAGAGAGAAATGAATGGTGTTGGCTTAACCTGAGTGTCACCTTGCCTCAGATGAGGGACGCGGTTGAGAAGCCAATATTTTCATGGTAACCTCAGCCAGTGCAAGAATTGAACCCACACAGTTGGCATCACTCTGTGTTGCAAACCAACTGAGTTAGCTGACTCCTTGGCAGAAGTTCAACATTTTGTATACACACCAAACACGGATAGTTGATGGCAAATTGTCTGAAAGGCAAGGTGCACATTCAGTGGCAAACATCACATTCAATTCATTAGTTCTGACATGTTGTGGCTATAACTATCCCAGAGTTGTTCAATTGTAATTTGGACTTTGCTTGCAATACTTTTCCTTCCCTTTCACTTTGCATGAATAACTGTATTTATATATACTTACTCTCTTTTACATTGGTACACTGTTCATCTGAATACACAACACCATGTTTATTTCGAGCTTGACATGAAACACAAATCCTTGACATTGTTTTCAGGGTCAGTGTGCTGTTGGTCAAGTTGCCAGTAGTCACTGGTTTGATGTTCCCTGTGAAGTTCCATGTAATCTGTGCCAGGGGATTGGCTTTGGCCATACAACTAAAACTCATCCTAGTTCGACTGATTTTTACTTCAACAGGTTTGTCTGTGGGAAGAAGTTGAACTGCAGTAAATTGCACATCATCGGTTTTCCCTCAATTACTTTCCCTGTCAGTCAAAGGAATAAGGCCCATTGGACCCTAAGTGCAATGGGACTTGACATTCCTCCAATACTTTATTCAATACTAATATGCAGGTTCTCTGGAGAGTTCAGAAAATGCACTTTGGGATCACAAGCAAGTCCTGCTACGCTGACTATATCAGAATTAATCAAGATGCTGAAGCTTCTAATGAACAATTACTTGGCATCTGGAACTCTGCAAAACAAAAATCACAGCTTCAAGTTCGGCTTCAGAAAATCCTGAATGGTTTGTGTTTACACTTAGCTGGGAATAATTAGCAGATTAAAACCTGCTCTGACTCCTGAAAACTATAAAATGGATCCTGCAATAACTCAAACTCACACCTTGCCTCTGCGACTCGACACCCAACTCCACCCCCTCCAAAACGCCTTCTGGATAACCCTGGCTTCTTACACTACAGTCCAACCTGTCTTTCCTCCAATCCTGCCACCCTCTCCCAACCCAACCACATTCACCCCTTCAACACCAGGCACAACCGGACTCCTAACCCCTACTCAGAACATGACGACATGAATTATTCACTTCCCCACATACCACCTCCCTCCTGACCCAATCCAGGTCTGATTACCCCATTCTCCGAACCCTCCTCATCCTAAACCCAACTCCCAATACTGACGCCCAACAAGCCCCCTCCATACTCAACAACCACCTCCCCTCTAACACAAGCTCACTGTCCAATTCCTCACAGAGCCAACCCCTGGCCTGTACTGATCTGACTTAACTCTGCATTGCTCAAGGTCATGTCTCTGACCTAAACACTGCTATGATGACCTTCAACCCCTCTTCCCCTCAAAACCTAATGCCCTCCAATCACTCACCCATCTACCGTCCATTCCCATGCCATCCCAACACTTTCATACTCTTGGGTCCCCAAATCCTCACCCACCTTGTACCCTCCTGGCACCCTAACCTTTGGCTAGCTGGAACCCTATCCTTTGGCTAGCTGGTACCCTACCCCTCGGCTAGCTGGTACCCTATCCCTCATCCAGCTGGCACCCCAGCTCCACACCCATCAGACATGTGCCACCCAAAGTCCCACCCACCTACTTGGCACCCTATCTCTCAATTGCCTGGCACCCTACCCCTTTGAAACTTATACCTTTGACACTCTCCCAGCTGCCACTTTTCTCCCTTACTTACCCAATGCAGTAGATCTCTCTGAGCAGCTGTCAATGTAGCTGCAGGGACCTTTTAATACAGCAACATGTGTTGAAAAATACAGCCTTGGTTCTACACTGACCCACTCCAGTACTGGCTTTGTAGGCAGGCTCTGGGCCTGAACTAGACTACTTCAGGTGAGGACGCTCCTGTTTCAGGTGCTCACAAGGAGAAATCCTAAACGTGACTGAGTTTTTTTTTCCCAGTCTGGGTTTGAATGTTTCTGAGTTTGAATGTCAGCAGATTATTTGGTCATGACTGATTTACCATGCTTATCTATTTTGTGTCTTCCATAGCTGCTGGACCCTGTGCTTTTATTTGTATGTGCAGGAAATTGATGGGGTAGGGGCTGAGAGCAGATTAATACTGAGCAAATTCCATGAACCCAACAGCTGTCCTGCTTCCAACACTCGTGTGGTTTTAAAATTATATTTAAAAATAAATAAAATTGGTTGGTGTACACCATTTTTGATTTGTTGAAAGGCTCCATCAGACTGGAACAGAGCAGATATATCTCCTCTGCTCAAGAATGGAGGGAGGTAGTAAACAGAAGGCTAGCTTGGCATTGTCACAAGGTAGGTATTAGAACTGATCGATGAGGAGGTTATGGCTGGCTGATTGGAAAGGTGATTGGAAAGAGTAAGCATGGCTTTGTGAAAGGGAAATAATGTTTAGCCAACGCATTTGATTTCTTCGAAAGAGTAACATGTATTGTCATTAAAGGGGAGCTTGCAGATGCACTGGCGTTTCTAGAAGGCATTTGACAAAGTTCCACACAAAAAGTCATCCTGCAAAGTAGGAAGTCAAAATCTAGAAACAACATAGTAACATAGGAGACAAGCAGAACACAGTTTAGGCACAAAATGCTCTCTGTCTGAATAACAGAATGTGACAAGTGGATTCCTCCAGGGATCTGTTGTGAGACTTCAGCTTTTCACAATTTATATTAATGACTTAGAAAAGGGGAGCAAAGACACAATAGTTAAAATTTCTAATGTTGTGATGATAGGCAGGAATCTATATTATGAAACCAAAAGATGGGTGCAGAAGGATATAGATTGAGTGAAAGGGCAAACATCTGGCAGATAGACTATAGCATGGGACAGTGTGAAATTGTTCACTTTGGCAGTGAGAATAAAAAGGAAGAGAATATTACTTAACTGGAGAATTACTGCAGGATTCCAAGGTGCAGAAGGATTTCAATGTTCTAGTGCATTGTGATGAAGATTTCTCATATGTTATCGTTATTTGGGAACACCCATTCTTAAGGAGAGGTAAATGAGTTTTAGACTTTTAGTTCTGTGGAGGTGACTTGTTTCTTTTTAAAAGGGTCAGAAACTCGTATTTTAGGATTCAGTTAAAGTAACATTTCCAACAAATGATTAGCTTAGAACATTAGAAATAGGAGCAGGAATAGGCCATCCGTCCCCTAGAGCCAGCTCTGCCATTCAGTAATGGTAGCGATGATGTGGAGGTGCTGGTGTTAGACTGGTGTGGATAAAGCCAAAAATCACATGGTACCAAATTATAGTCCAATGGGTTTATTTGAAATGACAAGCTTTCGGAGCTCTGTTCCTTCACCTGACGAAGGAGCAGCGCTCTGAAAGCTTGTGATTTCAAATAAACCTGTTGGACTTTAACCTGGTGTCGTGTGACTTCCGACTTTGCCCATCATTCAATAAGATCATGGCTGATCTTTTCATGGACTCTGCTCCACTTAGGCCCCCACCCTCCACCCACCCCGCTCACAATAACCCTTAATTCTTTTATTGTTCAAAAATCTGTCTATCTTCACCTTAAAATGATTAGACATGCTGCCTGGTGAGATAATGCCTGAATGGTTTAGTAGGAAAGATGGACACTCCAAAACTTGGAAGCAGGTCCAATTAAGGAGGAAAGACCGATATCAGTAAATGCGCTGTTTAGCAGCTCCAATTAGTCAAAGTAACTGGAAATGGACCTGAGTACTTTTCCTCAAAGTTCAATGAGAAAACTCAATGAGTTAGTCTGTGCCTGTGTGACTTGGGGAGAAATGGAGAGAATTACATGTAGTGAATGCACAGAAACTCACAGAAAGGAAAGGGTTTATGGGCCTGTCTGTTGAGTAATACGTATTAGAGTGAAGAGTTTGAAGGATACTGCACAGAATTTGTATCTGTTAAGGATATTGCTGGGCAAAAGGGTTGAATCTTCCTTTTTGCTGTGGATATTTCCAAATTGTTGTACACATAAATTTGTTTCTTTGCTTTTCTTGGGCATTATAAACTGTGATGTTCTTTCGTTAAAATAATTTGGCAGCCTCTTGTAAATATGGATCAGTGACCATAGGAACCAAATTGTACAAATATAATTTATGGTCTATGAAGCCAGGTTTCAGTCTGGAATCTGACTTGTCCAGCTGTATTATAACCACATGAATCACAAAATGGTAATATATGGGCAGCAAGTAATTAAGAAGGTTATCTTATATCACAGGGAGAATCGAGTTGAGGTTGTACAGGGCATTTGTGAGGCTTCTTCTGGAGTACTGTGTGCAGTTCTGGTCACTCAGTTATAGGAAGGATATTATTAAACTGCAGAAGGTTCAGAAGAGATTTACCAGGATGTTGCTGCATATGGAATGTTTGAGTTACAAGGAGAGGTTGGATAGGCAGGAACTTTTTTCACTGGAGCGCAGGAGATGACCTGAGAAAAGTTGATAAAATCTTGAGACGTATAGATTGAGTTAATGATAGTTGTTTTCTCCCTAGGATGGGAGATTTCAAGACTAGGGGGCACATTTTTAAGGTGAGTGGAGAGACATTTCAAAAAGATATGAGAGGCAAATTTTTTACACAAAGGATATTTCACGTGTGGAATGACCTTCCTGAGGAAGTGGTGGATGTCGGTACAGTTACAACGTTTAAAAGACACTTGGGTAAGTACATGAATAGGAAAGGTTTGGAGGGATATGGGCCAGGAGCAGGCAGCTGGGACGAGTTCAGTTTGGGATTATGTTCGGCATGGACTGGTTGGACCGAAGGGCCTATTTCCACGCTGTATGACTCTATGATTCTGTGACTATGAGTGTAAATGTAAGGATAGTTGCTCGATAGTACAGAGGTGGAGTACAACTGAAAAATGAATATTGACCAGATTTTCTGAGGAATTGTGATCCTCTGCAGATAGCCAGGCCAGCACCTCCTCTACAGAAAAGAATGGAACTCTGCATTTCTGAGAGGAAATTCCGCTCAGGTCTCCTTCAGGAAATGGGAAACCGTGCTTCCATTCTGACAGCTCTTTCATAGCATAGATCAGTCAGGGGAAGGCAAGCCATGTGCTCTTTTCACAGCAGGCAGTTGCTGTACTGTGACCCTGAAATGGTCCTGATAGTTACTGTGACAGCTGCCATCAAACCATAAGTATGCAAGGTTGATTTTCAGGTGCTGGGAGGGTACAGTGCCAGATGAGTATGGGGTACTGTGTCAGAAAGGTAGGGTGCCAGGCGGATACAGTGCCAGCTGAGTAGGGGTAGGATGCCAGGTAAATGTCAAATGAGAAGAGGATAGTGTGCCAAGTGCTAAGTTGGCAAGGGGGCCAAACAAGTGATGCTGTGTTTAGGGTAGGTGGGGTCTGATGAGAGAAGTCTGGTGCAATTGGTCATGGGTTGGGTGAGCATTCTGTTTGGAGCATTCAGATACTGGGTGGTTGTGGGGGTGCGGTGGGTACAGGGGATATGAACGTTGGGTCCAGCATCAAGTGGGTATTAGTTCCAATCTGATTTAATTGGCAACCTTCGGAGGGGTTTCAAACATAGGGGAAGTGCTGAGTGGCAGCTTCAATTTCCCACGCCCTTCCTTTGGAGTCAGCTACAATGGAGATCATAGAGAGTCACACAGCACAACTCCCATCTTCACGAGAAATACAACTGCCTGGCCAGCACAGACTCTGGCCCCTTCTGTAAAAATTCTCATCTTGCACTCCTCAGGACAATCAACAATACTGACGCACAGGGAAAACAAGAGTTATACTGTATGGGAGGACAGTGTTGGCTGGTTGGCAAGTGGGCTGTAATCAGTTGAAACATTGTCATGTGAATGCAACAGTTAATGATGACTGACAGTTTGCTGCCAGGTTTTGTTTACGTTTTTAACAAGACAGATTGATTCTGATTGGTCAAAGTTTTGCTTGAGAAATGAACCAGAGAATAACCATCACTTATTTTGTTCATGTTTGTTTTGTCAAGATGTTATCCTTTCAACTGTTTACAACAGGCTAAGTACTGACTGTACTTAACTCACCGGTGATTTCAAAACTCACAATATAGAGTCCAACATTCAATGTGATTTGTGATTTGACAACATTTATGGCATAATCCAAAGTGTGTGAAGAACTATGCAATTTAGTCATTGTGAATCAACCTCTCAGTGTGGTGCACTAGCATGTAGTGCAAGCTACCTACACTAATACACAGGGTCCTGCAGTTTGTAGACAGAAAGAACTTGTACACACTCTCAACTTAGCAAAATAGGTCTGCCATTCTCTAGTTCATTTCCCAGGCTTGCTTTGCTTAAAATTTAAACAAAATATAGCAGTTAACTTCCAGTCATCATTAACTGGTGCATTCTCCAGAGGCAACATTTCTACCAGTTACAGTTCACTTGCCTAAAAATCAGTACTCTCCTACGATATGGTATCAATGTTGTTTTCCTTTTACTTTGCTATACTTTTGCAAATTGCCTTGATGAATGCAAGACAAAAAACTTTGGATCACATCAAGGGACCAATCGTGCAGACGAAGAAGTTGGTTGCAACTCTGCCCTGGCACCACTCAGAGTTTGGTGCTGAAGGTTCATGATTGCACTCACTGTTCTGGAGGGGGCAGATAGTGATATAATGGCAATGTCAACTGGATTAATAATCCAGATCGGGTTTGCATCACAACAGGGCAGCAAGTGGAATTTAAATTAAATTAATCCAGCAGTGGAAACTAACAATAATAAATGGTGGCCGTGAAACTATCATCGATTGTTGTAAAAACCCATCTGGTTCAATACTGCCTTCATGGAAGGAAACTGCCATCCTTACCTGGTCTGACCTACGTGTGACTCCACACCCGCAGCAATGTGGTTGACTCTTAACTGCCATCTGGGCAATTAGGGATGGGGCAATAACTGCTGGCTGTCCCAGCAAGGCCTACATGCCATTAAAAGAAAAATAGCTCTCCACAACTCCATGTTCTAGACTAAGCCAAGATAGTTTACTGAAACAGTTTTCATAGGTAAGAGCAACTGCAGAAAAGTGCAGTTCTAATAGGTAGCTCCAATTGATAAGTGCACTTCTTTTCCTTGTCCAAGGTCAAAGAATAATTTTTTTCAATTGGCAAATAGCACATCTACATACCCATGCTCCTAGTACCGGCCAAGGAATCAGGAAAAAGTGTATGTCGTGTGCTTTACTTTGCGTCTACAATTGGAAGCAAGTCTGTATAGCACTATATCCTAAGGAAGAGAAAAACCCAAACTGACACTAACAAACCAATTTCTACGAGAATAATTGGATCAGTTATTAAAAAGCAAAATTGAACAGTCCCCTTGAATGAGAATAATCTGATCAGTTCAAGTCGGCATAATTTTAAATTATACCTGTACGACAAATTCAGTTTTATCTCACTTGCAAGGTGATACACGCGAGAACTGGACAGTGCTGTGGGCTGTGTGCAGTTCCTGATCACTGAGGCAAAAGCAGAACTTTATATCTTTTCAGGCTTGATGCATATCTTTAGCTTTTTGGAGCGGTGAATAACATCACCAGAGAAGCCAATTCTGCTAAACATGTTGTGAAGGAAGGTGCAGACGTTCTAACTTTACCATATCAGCATCTATTCAATGGTTGATATTAAGCTCTGTTGCCTGTAAATTGGTTCTCTGTTGGACAGTTCTCATCCATAAATGTTCAACTTGCTCTATGGCTTGGAATGCCTTCCTTCTCTAGAATTCACCAAGAGGTTCGAGTTGCTCCAACTCATTTTCTTGTACATTCCTCCCTTTCCTTTCACCCTACAGCGGGTAGTTATATTTTCAACTGTCTGGGCCCGAAGGTCTGAGATACTCTTCGGAAACTCTCCACATCAGTTCCCTTCTTAAGGTGCACCTTAAAACCCATTCCTTTGACTGAGTCTTATGTCACCCATCTTAATATCGCCTTCATTAGCTTGGTGGTTACTTTTGTCCAATTATAACTCTTGGCAAGGCTTATTCCCATATTAATAGTGCTATGTGAGTGTAAGTTGTTGTCAGAGTAAAGTATATGTGAAGAAAGCTATTTGTTCCATTGTGATCATTCTACGTTAGAAACTATTGGCTTCCGAGCACGGCTCTGAACTATCTCCTGAATGGTCTTAGAGACTGGACCTGTACAACTGCAATCAGTAAAGCTCCTCCTGAGAATGTCATAACGGGAAGTTAAAAATACCTCAACCTTTACGTCACGTGAAACTACTTAATGGCAAAGTCTTTCTAATTAATCATTGAGAGGTGAGAGGTGAAAATATTATCAAGAAATCTCACTCCTGGTTCTCATGTAGTGCACCAACACGAAGAGGATTAGGAATTGGGAAAGTCTGAGTTGAGCAATAATAGCACCATACAGCATCTTAAGAGAACACAATCCAAAAAAAGGTTAATAATGTACACTTGCTTACATTGGACGTAGATTTCCAAATCATCCGAAGACCCACTTCCAATATAATTTGTTGCTGTACAGCTGTAGAAACCAGAATCGCTTCTAGAAACATATTGGAAGGTCAGAGTTCCTTTCACAGCACTAAGAGATCTTGTTTGACCATTGCTTTCCTCTCTCTTGTACCAGGTGTATGTAGCTTCAGGATTGCTATTACCGGTGCACAACAAGGAGAGCTTGCCTCCCTCTTTAACCTCCAATTGTGATCCATTAACTACTTGAATGGTTATGTTTTTAGGTGCATCTGAAAGTAAAATACATTGATGTCTAAAGTTCTACAGACAACTTGGCAGAGTTTACAAAATAGTGAAAGGTTTGGATAATGCATTTATTAACCAGTTATTCCCATTGATAGTTTGGGATGATCAGCAGGCAAGAGTTTAAATAATGAAGGAGGAGAAATAGAATTCCTTGTCATAGGTACAGTGTGCATTGACTGCCTGGATTTATGAGGGAGTTGGTGTGAATGTTGAATCCTAAATCCTACAGTGTGGAAGCAGGTTATTTGGCCCATCGAGTCCACACCGATCCTCCAAAGAGCATCTCAACCAGACTCCTACCCTTGGAGATAGTAAGAACTGCAGATGCTGGAGTCAGAGATAACACAGTGTGGAGCTGGAGGAACACAGCAGGCCAGGCGGCATCAGAGGGGCAGGGAAGCTAACGTTTCGGGTTGCGACCCTTCTTCAGAAATTTCAACATTACGACTGATCACATCAGTAATACCTTGCAAACACCAGTGCACCTCTAATTATTTATCTGCAGCAATGATTATACTTTTAGAAGTATCTAAATGTTGCAAATGAATGGTCTTTTTTTATGACAGACAATACAGCATTATTGATGTTAGGCCAAGACTTACCATTCCAAATGTACTTTCTCGCTCCTTCTCTCTCTCTTCCCTTCTCTCTCCGACTTGAAATAATTCCGCAGGGACTGGTATCCAGTCACCAAGCCACCCTTTATTTACATGTGCATAATACTTGACACTGACCCAGCTTCCTCAGAGCCAGCTATTAGAGTGAACAGAACCCCCGACACTCCTGTTTGTATCTGTCAGCCAGGGTTCCCCGACTGGCCCAGATTAACAGTCCCAAGTCAGGGAACTCATATTCTATGAGGTCCACCTGGCTGACCTCATTACAATCATTACATCCCTCCCCTCTGAGTCCAGGGATGTAGGCCAGTTCTTTTTCTTGGACCCACTGCTGGGGTGCTTTTCCAGGATTTCCTCTGACTCCGTCTCGGATACGGGCAGCATGTACTGGACCGTAGAACACCGCTTGTGATCAGAGCATGTGGGAAGAGACTCATCCTCTTCTTCACATGGTAAAGGTATCGAGACTGTGACATCTGCTGTGTCTATCTCAGACTCTGAAGCTTCTTCAATGCTAGACAGATGGGGAGACCCATAGACCCATAGCCTTTCTGGCTGTTCTGAGTGGCCGGGTGTGTTTTGCTCCTGCCCCGTTGGTGTTTATTCAGGACTGCCTCACCTAGCTGAACGTTGTATGTTATGGGAGCTGACCTCATGTCGGCCATTCCTCTTAACCATGCTGGGCCATTTCCCTGGTTTCGGCCCCGAAATTTGTCCCTTGAAGGAAACTCTCTCTCTCACTTAGGGTAGTCTTGTATTCAGCAATGGAGTTCCTGATGCCATTTTACACTCCCACCCAGGTCCGGGAAGACCAGATTTAACCTGGTGCAGAGACTTATCCCCATTAGCAACTCTGCTGGAGCTGCCCCTGTGGTTGCATGAGGAGTGGTCCGATAATCAAATAGGAACCAAGACAGTTTGGTATTGAATGAAGGTATTGGCTGTTTCTTTAAGCCTGCCTTCAAAGTCTGGAATGGTCTTTATGCCAGACTGTTGAATGGTGGATGGTATGTAGCTGTCCTCAGATGCCAAATGCCATTCACCTTCAGGAAATACTCGAATTCCCTCTGGTACCTGTTATCTGTGACCAACACTTCCGGGAGCCCAGGTATTGCAAAAGATGCTCACAGCTTTTCTATCATCATTGCCGAGCTTGATGGTTGAACTCTGTGCACCTCCAACCACTTTGAGTGGGCGTACGTAATGACTAAGATCATTGAGCCCATAAAAGTGCTGGCACAGTCGAGGTAAAACCGAGCCCAAGGATTTCCTGGTCATTCCCACAAATGTGGCGGAACTGCTGGCAGTAATTTTTTGTCTGTGGGCGTTGCCCCATCAAGGCGATTATGTCTGCATCCAATCCTGGCCACCAGCCATAACTTCTCAACAACATCTTCATTTTGGACATCTCTGGATGACCCTGGTGGAGTTCAGCTAGTATCTGATAGCTACCTTTACTCAGGACAGTCACTCTTGCTCCCTACAGTGATATGCCATTCTCTACGGTGACCTGGTCTTGCCAGGCCCTGAAAGGTTTCAGTTCTGGTTGTGATGTACTTCCCCCATCATCACCAGCTGTTTTGGTTTTGCCAGGACTGGATCTTTTTGAGTCCACAGTTCTGATATTGTCAGCAGTGACTGGAAGGGAGTCCAGAAAGTTTAAAACCAGAATGGACTCTTCCAGGGAGGCATCACCAGTTGGAGTAACAGACAGTGGGAGGCAGTTCAAGGAATCTGTATTTGCTACATGGCCTCCCAGACCGTGTTCCAATTTGAAATTGTACGCATTTAGAGTGAGGGCCCACTGCTGAATTCGACCTGAAACAATGGATAGCCTGTCCCGTCCTCTTTTAGTCACCTTAGTAGGGGTTTGTTGTCTGTTACTGTTACAAATTTACATTCATAAAGGTACTGGTGGAACTTTCTCATACCAAAACCTTCCTTCTCTATCTGGGCGTACTTGCGCTCTGCGTCAGCCAAAGTCCGGGAAGCGTACGCTGTTGGGCGTTCCTCTCCATTGGGCCATCTGTGAGCCAACACTACCCCAATACCGTATGGGGAGGCATCACATGTCAGCAGCAGATCTCGCTTGGAATCCAAATGTGCCAACACCTTAGACGACGATAGCTGCTTCTTCACTTCCCTAAAGGCTTATGTCTTGGCTATGAGACCATTTCTAAGGCCGGCCCTTTTTCAGTAGCAGACATAGGGGTGCCAGGATGGAGGCCAGGTTATGTATGAACTTCCTGTAGTAATTAATCAATTCATCAGTCTTAAACTCCAGTACAGATTTGGGGGCCAGGACACATTTGATTGTGCTCCCTTTATCTTCCAATGGGTGTAACCCAGTCATATTGACTCTGTAGCCCAAGTAAGTCACTTTGGGTGTCTGGAACGTGCATTTTCCCTTCTAACGCATACACTCGCCTTGGAGAAACATCTAAACACTATATCCAAGTTCTCTAAGTGGTCTTTATAGGTCTTCCCTGTTATTAGCATGTCATCAAGGTAATGGTGACCTGGGGTAGCCCTTGTAAAATGTTCTCCATGGTCTGCTGGGAAAGAGCGCAGGCTGATGATACCCCAAATGGCAGTCTTGTGCATTGGTACAAACCCTTGTGTGTATTAATTGTAGCATACCACTGGGAAACCTCATCCACCCGCAATTACAGGTATGTCCAACTTCATGAAGGGACCGCCCCAGTCAACTTTGCACACAAGTCCTCTATGCGAGGGATCGGGTATTTATACAGCTGTGAGAAGCGGTTTAACATTTGCTTAAAATCCTCACAAAGGCGAACAGACCTGTCAGCCTTCACAATCAGTACAACTGGTGTTGCCCTTTCCTCAAACTGTATCAGTTTGAAAATTCCTTCGCTTTCTAGCCTTCTGATTTCTATCTCTACTTTTGCCCATAAGGCTGAAAATCGTCCGGATATTTAATTAGGACTTCACTCAGGCAGCCATTTTCTAATTGATAGAAGTTGAGCCAATCAAGGTGAACCTTTTTCAATCAATTTCACGCCATCAAGCTTGGGCCTGAATCTTTTACTATGATCAGTAACTGAACTCAGCTGCTTCTCATATGAGACCAGAACCCAAGGTGTACCCTTAATGTGTAAATGTTCCCCGGTATAGGTTCTTAGTCTAACCGAGGTCTTGTGCAAACTTAAGGGTTGGAACCCGGAGCAAATTTTGTCAAAGACTGGTTCTGCAATCACTGATACAGCTGCACTGGTATCAACCTCCATTAGAACTGGTTGACCATTTAACCTGATGTTTATTTTGATTGGTCCTGATTTGGATGTTGCTAAGCAATTTAACTGTTCTAAGCCAGGTGTAGGTGGGCTTTTCAGGGTGGGCCCTCTCCTGGATACCGGCCTGTGAGTTCTCTTACTCCATGTAGGCCTGCTGTGATTCTTCTGCTGTGTTGAGTCCACATACCAGCAGTAAATATAATGGCTTGCCAGCCCAGATCCTGAAGAAAATGTTAACCGCTTGCTCAAGGCTTGGCTTTGTTTTGGGGTTTTGCTGTGGGCTGACCTAGAACCTCTCTGTTCAGGGTATGTCCTGAGTGAGACTATGCAACTGCCTTCACTCAAGTGAAGCTCAGTCAGCTTGGTGAGGATGTCCACTTCCATTGGCGTACACTGGAACTCATAAGCTCCACTTGCCACATTTTCCAATGATAAAGCCAATTGTAGTGCATGTTTGAAGTCCAGTTGGGCTTCAGCTAGTAGGTGCTTTTGCATGGTTACATCATTAATCCCACATATCAAATGGTTTCTCAGCATCTCATTAAGAGTTAAACTAAAGTCACGTGCCTCTGCCAGTCACCTTAACCTCATCAAAAATCCTGACACAGATCCTCCCATTTTCGAACTGCTGAGCAAAACTGATAGCACCTCAGAATTAAAGAATGCCTGGGGTCATAATGTTCCTTAACTAAATCCATCAACACTTGAAATGTTTTAGTATTTGGTGCCTCAAGGAAAGTAAGGCTCCTAATAACTGAAAAAGCTGTGTGTCCACAAGCTGCCAGGAGAATTACTCATTGCTTTTCGTCTGCCCGAATGTCATTTGCCCGGAAAGAAAAGAACGTATTGTTTCCACATACTTCGGCGGCAGGATCGAACAAGTCAAGCTTCCCCCAAATAGCAGCATGATGCCAGAAATGCTTACCCCAACTCAAAAATGACTGTTGCGAGCAAACCTCTTCAGGAGCATATATTTTTTCTCTCTCGTCACCACAGAAATGTCGGTATTCTGACACCAAGTCACCCTTTATTTACATGTGGGGAGTACTTGACACTGGCCCGGCTTCCTCAGAGCCAGCTCTCAGAGTGAACAGAACTTCTGACTCTCCTGTTCTTATCTCTCAGCCAGGGCTCCTTGATTGGACCAGGTTAACAGCCCTAATCGGGGAACTCATATTCTATGAGGTCCATGTGGCTGACCTTATTACAATCACTACACCCCACCTGTCTCTTTCATCCTCAGATTCAGTAATGATCAAAACACATGAGGAAGGGTGGGAAAAGGTAAATTGGGGGAGGATGTGTAGACAAAGGTGGAGAAAGGGGACATTTAACGTGTCTTAGTGACAATGAGGTTATCACAAACTCAATCAAAACAATATTTAAAAAAACACGTTGTTACTCACACTGGACACGAATTTCCAAAGTTTCCGACATATTATTTCCAATGTGATTTGCTGCTTTACAGCTGTAGAACCCAGAATCCCCACTTGCAATACTCTGGAATGATAAAGTGCCTTTAGAGGCATTAATACGTCTTGTTTCACCTTTTTCATCTTCACTCTTGTACCAGCTGTATGTAGCTTCGGGGTTACTGTTACTGGTGCAAGTCAAGGAGACCTTATCACCTTCTTTGATTGCTAATTCTGATCCGTTATCCACTCGGATGGTTATATTTTTGGGTGCATCTGAAAGTGAAAGATAATTTGTAGGCTTATGACATAAATGATGCAGAGCAACATAAATAGAATTAACCATTATTAAGTGACTTGGTTGACTGCCATATTTCATAATCCCCACAGGAAGTGGGTCAACTTTTACCCTTTTATCTTAGAATTAGGATATTCAATCTTGCCTTATATATAGGTTCATAAAATTATCGATTGATATCGGATGGTTACAGCCAGTAAGCCAATCAAGCTTGTGCTGCTGGATCCATGCAATCAATCTCGTTGCACTGCTCATTCCACTGGAACCTATCAATCTTTACTCATTTATAAAATTTGTCAAGTTATTTGTCAAACCTTTTCTGGTGAACCTGTTTCCACTAGATCAGATCATAATAATTTGCGTTGTAAATACGATTGCCTTATGTTCTCTCTGTTCTGAAATATGTATTTTCAAGTTGCCAAACGTACTGTCACGGGAAACACTTTCTTTATGTTCGCTCTATCAAAATCATTCAGTCAGAAGTCACATAACATCAGGTTATAGTCCAACTGGTTTATCTGAAATCGCAAGCTTTCAGAGTGCTGCTCCTTTGTGGGGTGAAATGATTTCACCCCACAAAGGAGCGAGGCTATGAAAGCTTGTGATTACAGATAAACCTGTTGGACTATAACTTGATATCATGTGACTTCTGATCTTGTCCAATCCCGGCCAACACCGTCACCTCCACAAAATTCATGATCTTGAATATCTCTCTCAAACCATTTCCTCAAAGATCTTTGGTTGAAGGGCTACAACTCCAACATCTCTTGCCTTGTTCCATAATTGAATTTATATAACCCTGCATATTTTAGTCCAGGTCATTACAGTACTTCAAAGGAACAGACATCCTAATAAGCCATGAAAGATTAAGAACAACAATCCTCTGCAGTTTGAGAAACAGCTCTTTATGCCACACCATTAAAAAAAAAATCAATCTATTCAGAGATGTTATTTCTCACCTCTGGTGCAGGTGGGACTTGAACCTTGGTCTCTCCCTGGACCCAAGGCAGAAAGACTACCACTGCTCCACATGAGGTACCCAAATTTACTTTTTAAATTTATTTTTCTAATCAACCTGGTCAGATATGTTATTATACACCTTTGGAGCAGATAGGACTTGTACTTGGGCCTCCTGGTCCAGGGGTAGGGATGTTGCCACTGCACCACAAGAGGGCCCACTGATATTGTCATATGAAAGTTGCTCCCTTTCCCTCTCACATTTCTGAAGAAGGGTCCGACCCAAAACGTCAGCTTTCCTACTCCTCTGATGCTGCCTGGCCTGCTGTGTTCCTCCAGCTCCTCACTGTGTAATCTGCTGTGCTTACCTGGTCTGGCCTAAAGACCCACAGCAATGTGGTTGACTTGTACCTGACCTCTGGGCAACAATGCTTGTGTCCTGCGCTTAAAAAAGAAACTACAGCACCCTGAGTCAGACTGAGTATAACCTTGGGAATGATATTTTGCTTTTTAGAGGGAGTGCAGCTCTGTTGCAACCAGAATAGCACTTGGACTCCAAAGGTTACCAGACAAGATTACACAAACTAGCATCACTTTCTCTAGAATTTAATTCACTTCAATCACTTGGTTAACTCTCAACTGCCCTCTGGGCAATTAGGGATGGGCAACAAATGTTGGCCTGGTCAGTGATGCCCACATCCTATGAATGAATTTAAAAAATCAAAATGAGTGATATGATTGAAGATTTCATGACTTTAGAATTAATAGATAGGGGAGAAAGAAAGTATTTCTACTGTTTGAGGAATATTGGACGAGGGAGTAAAGTTTAAATTGTAGCCCAACCTATCGAGAGGGAGGGTGGAATTATCCCCCTTCTGGTGTGGAAAGAGCAATGGCAGGTGTGGTGATAAAACAGAGTGTGATTTGGAAAAAAACAATCAGAATCTCGACATTGAGAAAAGAATGCTGATCTTCTCCCCTCAAACCTTAAATGTCAACTGCAGAACCTCTAACTTGTGAGACACCCTCCTTTTCCTCATACTTTTGTAATGCATTAAAGCCAATGTATTTACTTCCCAATTTACATCTCATTTTCATTTTGCCTCTCTGCTGGGAAACCAGATGCCACAAATTCCCCACAGGTAAACAGGGTGGGTACCTTGTGGCTACAGCTCACCGACCACTTATCCTGGCCAGCATCCAACTGTTTCTCTACAACGTTGTCCCTGAATGTTCAATGGCCACTATCCTCATCAACATATAGCATCGGTAAGAGTGACCATCGCACAGTCCTTGTGGAGATGAAGTCCCGCTTTCACATTAACAATAACTTCGATTGTGTTGTGTGGCACTATCACCGTGCTAAATGAGACAGACTTTGCACAGATCTAGCAACTCAAGACTGAGCATCCATGAGGCACTGTGGGCCATCAACAGCAGCAGGATTGTACTCCAGCACAATCTGTAACCTCAAGGCCCGGCATATCCCCCACTCAACCATTACCATCAAGCCAGGGGATCAACCCTGGTTCAATGGAGAGTGCAGGAGGGCATGCCAGGAGCAGCACCAGGCATACCTGAAGATGAGGGATCAAACTTGTGAAGCTACCAAACAGGACTACTTGCGCACCAAAAGCAGTATAAGCAGCGAGTGATAGACAGAGCTAAGCGATCCCACAACCAACAGATCAGATCAAAGCTCTGCAGTCCTGCCACATCCAGTCGTGAATGGTGGTGGACAATTAAACAACTCACTGGAGGAGGACGGTCCACAAATATCCCCATTCTCAATGATGGAAGAGCCCAGCACATCACTGCAAAAGATAAGGCTAAAGCATTTGCAGCAATCTTCAGCCAGAAGTGCCGAGTGGGTGATCCATCTGGGCCTCCTCCAGTGCTCCCCAGATTTACAAATACCAGTCTTCAGCCAATTCGATTCACTTCACGTGATGTCAAGAAATAGTTGGAGAAACTGGATACTGCAAAGGCTACAGGCCCTGACAACATTCCGGCAATAGGACTGAAGACTTGTGCTCCAGAACTTGCCGCTCCCCTGGCCAAGCTGTTCTAGTAGTTACAACATTGGTATCTACCCAACAATGTGGAAAATTGCCCAAGTATGTCCTGTACACAAAAAGCAGGACAAATCCAACCAATTACTGCCCCATCGGTCTCCTTTCGATCATCAGTAAAGTGATGGAAAGTGTCATTAACATTGCTATCAAGCAGCACCTGCTCAGCAATAACCTGCTCAGTGACGCCCAGTTTGGGTTCTGCCAGGGCCGCTCAGCTCCTGACCTCACTACAACCTTGGTTCAAACATGGACAAAAGAGCTCCATTCCAGAGCAGCCCATCTGACCAGCACTACATCCACAAGCATTCATTTCCTCCACCACCAACGCTCAGTAGCAGCAGTGTGTACTATCTATGAGATGCACTGAGGTGAGAGTGACAGCCCTTGACATCAAGGCCGCATTTGAACGAGTGTGGCATCAAGGAGCCCTAGCAAAGCTAGAACCAATGGGTATCGGGGTCAAACTCTACGCTGGTTGGAGTCATACCTGGCATACTTGATGGTTGTGGTTGTTGGAGGTCAATCATCTCAGCTCCAGGAGATCTCTGCAGGAGTTCCTCAAGGTAGTGTCCTGAGCCCAACCATCTTGGGTTGCTTCATCAATGACCTTCCTTCTATCATAAGGTCAGAAGTGGGGATGTTCGCCGATGATCGCACAACGTTCAACATCATTTGTGACTCCTCAGACACCTGAAGCAGTCCATGTACAAATACAACAAGATCTGGACAACATCTAGGTTTGGACTGATAAGTGGCAAGTAACATTTGCGCCACACAAGTGCCAGGCTATGGCCATCATCAATAAGAGACAATCAAACCACCGTCTCTTGACATTCAATGGTGTTACCATCACTGAAACCCCCCATTATCAACTTTCTGGGTATTAACTGGACTCACCATGTAAACGCAGTGGCGACAAGAGCAGGCTAGAAGCTAGGAATACGGCGGTAAGTAATTCACCTCCTGACTCCTCAAAGCCTGTCCACCATCTACAGGGCACAAGTCAGGAATGTGATGGAATACTCCCCACTTGCCCTGGATGAGTGCAGCCCCAACAACACTCAAGAAGCTCGACACCATCCAGGACAAAGCAGCCCATCTGACCAGCACTACATCCACAAGCATTCATTTCCTCCACCACCGACGCTCAGTAGCAGCAGTGTGCACTATCTATGAGATGCACTGCAGACATTCACCAAAGATCCTCAGACAGCACCTTCCAAACCCACGACCACTTCCATCCAGAAGGACAAGGGCAGCAGACATAGGGGAACACCACCACCTCCAAGTCCCCCTCCAAGTCACTCACCTTCCTGACTTGGAAATATATCTCCATTCCTTCACTGTTGCTGGGTCAAAATCCTGGAATTCCCTCCCTAATAGCTTTGTGGGCCAACCCAAAGCAGGAGGACTGCAGCGGTTCAAGAAGGCAGCTCACCACCACCTTCTCAAGGGGCAACTAAGGACGAGCAAGAAATGCTTGCCAGCCAGTGATGCCCACATCCCACAAATGAATAGAAAAAAATACAAGCCAGCATCAGTAAACCATCAGCCTCAGCCCATCTTCATGGCTGCTTTTAGACCAACTTAGACACCACTCTGCTGTTCACTACTTCAACGGACACCTGAGACTAATAAGGAAGGCAAATTTTGGTATTTATTGCTAAAAGGGATAGAATATAAAAGTAGGGAAGTGGTACTGTGACAGCATAAGGCATTAGAAAGAATACAGCTTGAGTTCTGTGTATAATTCTAGTTCCCTTATTCAAAGAGAGGTATAGTTACATTGGAAGCAGTTCAGAGGAGGTAAGAGCCATAAGAGCCCTATAGAATCCGAAGGCAGTGGAAGAGAAGATTAAGGAAGTAACAGTATACAATAAATTGCCAGTTTTACTTATATGGCAAGTTTCAGGAAGAGACATTAAGTCGAGAAAGTAACGTTCAGA